TCATTTGAAATTTTTTTTGTTGTTCACATATCCAGACCTAATTGGGAGTATAAATACTTATAACATTAAAAATCTAAGTATCAACAATGATATTTAGAGCTATAATTCTATCTCCAATTCTATTAGTTTTTACATTATTATCTTTTAAATTCTTATTTATAATTACACCCACATCATTTCTAGTACGACTCATACTTGAATATCAAAGTTTAAAACCTAATATATTAATCTCCTTAGCCTTTTTTCAAAGTCATCTACTTTCTTGAATGCATAAGATCTTTATATTTTTATTAATCATAATATCTATTATTTTTAGTAATTTTCCTATGAGAGTAACTCTTTTTGAAGTTTTTATCATAATATTAATTTTATATACTAACTTTGTGTCCTATCCGTCCATGATGTAGGAATTCTTGCTTATTTAAATTGCACCCGAGTGCGTTGAAGTGCCTCTTGTATGTTTTTTACTTTATTTAGACAATACATCACGTCACTTTCAGGAGACGGCATAGCATTTACACAATGATTTAAAAGATTTATGTTATAGTGGCATAGCATTTACACAATGATTTAAAAGATTTATGTTATAGTTTTTGGACAAATTATTTGTGCTGTCTATTGACTACCTAACATAAACTCTACTTTTTGCATATGAAATTTGGAACCTGACAATGATAGTGTTGTCTATGCTCTTAAACAAAACCATAGCACCATAAATTTAATTAATGCTAGAATAAAAAGCAAACACAAAGTGAATGCTTTTAAACAAAAACATTCAGGTAGAAAATGAGCTCTTGAATCGCTGCAACTCACTGTTGTGTATGCTCCTTTGTCGTAAGCACCTCTACCCAAAAGATGCGAAATGTCCTTCAAAAATTGTAATTAAGCTCTTTTATACTTTATAGGAAACTTCGCTCAAGATAATTTTTTTTTTTCATTTGTTAGACACCTCAACGTTTAGTTAGCACCCAGTTGGGTGTGTTAGCACCTATTGCTTCAATCTGCGTGAGTTGGAACTTTGAAATATTGCGAAATTGGAGCCTAATTGGTGCTTCCAATGCTTACATAAACTATTTCTTATGTAGTTTATAGATTTTAAGTATTGGAAAGATTATATTGACTTTTTATTTACATACTCTTATGTACTATTCATTATCACGCTTATCTACACTACTATAAGGAATAACTCATAGAAGGTTAACATATAGAGTGTCAAAATTTTTTAAATACCTCAAGTCTATTCATGCATCTCTTGATGCTTAAAATCTCTTACACAAATCTCAACTAAGAGGTGAAGTCATAGTCTTTTAAAATGTAGTTTGACGGAGAGCTTTTGGGGAGGGGAACATTGGTTTTGTGAAGGTTGCAGGGGCTAGTCATTGGTCTTTGGGTTTGGTAGAGATGTATGAGATGAAGTAGATAAGGAGGTAGAAGTAGGAATGTTGGTCTACAAGCAAAGATGAATAATTTGTTTAACCAAGGACCAAGATACTGGCCACCAAATTCCCTCCTGAAGGGAATAACTTATCCTTTTTTTTCAATCATTTAAGCTTAATATTATTCATTCCATTTAACAATGCTCCGTCTCCTCTCTTTTTTCACAACCCACATTGTCGTCGCTCCTTCTGTCTTGCATGAATAGGGGTTTGAAACCCTCTAATGCTCGTCTTCACACGCAACACCAACCATGCCTCTCAGGCTGTTACACATAGAAGAATGAATGCTTTTCTCCGTTTATCAGTGTAACCCATACACCACTCCAGGCAGAGCCATTATCATTCATTTCCCTCATTCACGCAGTGCTTGCAAGATCTGGTTCACCTCTTCCTCCCTATGCCTCATGCTCTCTTGTTTGCCTCCATGCTCTCTTGTTTGCCTCCATGCTCTATAGTGAAACACTTGCACCGCACAATGTTGTAGCCACACGAAATCCCCCTTATTTGCACACAATTCGTTTCTCGCTCGACCCGAATTGATCCCTTCACTCTTTCACAAAATCCACACTCAAATCTTATCCTGTTCTCCCTTTTGTTGCACATCTCACTCCTTAGATTCTATATGTTTGTGAGATCCCCAACATGATTTTCCCTATTGCTTTTTGTTGCACAAACCCAACCCACCTCTCTCTCTCTCTCTCACACACACACACACACACACACACACACACTCATTTTCTCTAACTAGGATAAACTAAAAGAAAAAAAAAATTGAAAAGTAAAGAAGAGAAACGAAAAAAAGGGAAGAAAATTATTCTTATAATTCATCTTTTTATTTTACCAATTTTGTCTTTTCGTTGTGATCGTATCGTCGACTTGTTCTCAAAGCTATAAAATAAATGTAGGAAAAGTTTAAGTACCTGTTCAGGTTGTTTCAACCCTGCGGGACAATTCGTAATCACATTTGCTTTTGCAGGTTAATTGAAGACTCATGCGCGTTTTATATAAGGGTGGTTTAATTTTATACAACCACGCACTTTATAGACGAGTATGTGAATTTTCACACAAGTTCATTGAACCTCCATGCGTACTCTATGAGCGGGCTGTTAGAAGACTTCTTGTAGTAGCAGTGTTACTTGACGTTGATCATGCATGCTCTGAGCCAATAGGCTGACCCAACACTTTCCTCAATGCTCTCTAAGTGGGGGAGACATTGGGAATTTGTCAAAATTTATGGTGATATGGGACTTGCAAAAAATGATCTAAATTTGAATTATTTGGATTATTTGGAAATTACTTTAAAATAACAAAATTAAAAAAGGGGAAGTATATATTACAAACTAAATGACAAAATTATCACTTTAATCATTATTCGTCATTTTAATTGAATAAATTTAAATATAACTACGGCTTGTGTAACATTTATAGAAATTTAACAATCAATTAAGTAGGGTGAGTTAATATGTAATTGATTTTATAAATAGTAATAATTTTGGATTATAATCATATTTGGGGATATGATTAAGTAAAAAAAAATATTATTTAAAAGTAAATGAACGTTATTATGCGGTATATTTGAAATCTATAAAGAAGAATTAAACATGAGCATAAAAATATCCCTTTTAAATGCTAAAAGAAGAGGACTTACTACTCTTATTCGCCAACAAATTGGCTAAATGTTTAAATTTGAATGGTATGAGAATACTGTGCGGGCTAACATGAAGTTTCACTCAAATTACTCTTATTTTGAAAAGTAATCAAATAGATCATATTATATATAGAACAAAGTCACAGGTCTAAATTACCTAGTCTAATTCTTCTCATAAGAATTGGATTCAACAAGATTCGTATTTGAAAGATATTAAAGGAGTAAATTTCAAATAATTTCAAATAAGTGTTTTCAATTGTCCAAATCCTTGATGAGACTGTGTTGACATAAGATTTCAACGAAAGGATATACTTTTAAAATTAAGTTTCAAAAGCTTGATTGAATAAATATTGTTGATAAAGTTCATATACAAACATGTGTCAATCTTAAATGCAATTCTTTACAATTAATAGGTATGACTGATAGAGTTCAAATCAAGCAAAAAAGTTTCGTTGATGGCCATGTTGACTGAAGATCTCAGTCGGAGAGGTCAACTTTTAAATCAATTTTTAATCAAGTTCTCAAAATTACAAATAAAAAATTTTAACTTAAAATCAATCACCTAAAAGCTTAATGCAAACTTCATTTACTCTTTGTATTAATTTATCGAAGATGATAAATTTTTTATTAACTTCAGCCTAACAAGAATATATGCTATATTGAGTGTATAATTATATTCACACTCAAAGCATTCTCATGACACTAAGGACGTGGCACGAGTTCTCTCTTCACGTGATTTGACTAAATGGTTCCACAAAAAAATAGTAGTTACGATCATAACCTTCAGATTGGGTTGTTTGCTGCTAAATGAAATAATTAAGTTAGAGTAGCGGTAGCAGCTCGCATGTTTCCAACGGTTTTCTGTTCTTTTGAGTTGTGAACTATAAGCATATATTTAATTAACATAAAGCTTTCTGTTTGTCAATGTCAACTTAGATTCGTCCATATAGATGAACATCTATCCCAGATCTATAAGGGTTCCTTGGACAATCCATGGCTGCAGACATTGGGTCAATTACCTCCTCTAACTAAGTAGATCAAGGGCTACGATGACCCAATCGATGGAATTATGAGATCTTGATCGGGTTCTTCTTCATTTCCCCCATCATCCATTTTAAGCTCATAGTGGTATAATTTAAAACTTAAGTCTACTATCATTGTATGCTGAATATGCAGTGTTTAATGACTAGCCTTACTAGAAAGTGCTCTCCTGTTAATGGGAGAGGTAATTTACTGTAGGCATTTGCGCCTATGGAAAACCTTGAACACCATAATTTAAAAGTTCACATAAAATGAGGGTGAAATCTTCGGGTTGTGTTTTATTACATTGTAGGATAATTCAATTTGTGGTGTGTCAGCACATTCGAAGACCATCTCATCATGGGTGTTGCTAGCGCCAGTTGTATTGTCTGCCTTCAACAGGATGTTACCAAATAAAGTGTTTTTCTAGAAGGTTTTATTTCAGTAATGCATCTTATCATATTATTAAGTTCATTGGATTTACTACTTTGTGCAGTGTTCATTTACCTTGTATAATCAATTCTTGTTGACCACATGAGACATATTCAGAACAATTTTTTGGTAATTTTTTATTATTTGACAAAAATAGTTTTTAAGAAAATTTGTTTATGATACAGTTGTTTTGTATGTCTTGCTAGAAACTCATGCATAATGCATTTTCCAACAACCAATGCTTTTTTGGCACTTCTGGTTTGCATGTAATCTAACTCAAGTTGAAGTTTGTTTAGATGTTTTTGTTGAGCTCGAACTCCCTTATAAAGCTATTGCTTGTTTCTGGAGAATGAATATATTGATAGATATGCCTCTTCCTTGCGAAAGTACGTAGTTTATTTCCTGTAAATTTAAACTTTAAATTTAACATGACTAAGTTGCCGCCTTTCCAAACATTTTTGCAGCCCATCTTGGTCTACATGTCTAAGGTTGATGGAAGCTTTAAATTTAGTCCCATCAGTGTGAACTTCTTAACGGAAGTTACAAAAGTTCTCTTTGCCATCATTATGCTATTACTGCAGGTTATTGTTGTTATTATTCTCTTCTTCTAGAACTGTATTCTTTAATTTCGTGCAACTTAAATTATGGTACTTTTAACTTGTAGATATTTTTAATGTTGTAAGCTTCAGCTCTTTTAACTTTTGCAATGCATAATAACAACTTTATTTGCAATGATTGGGGTGGGGGTTAGCTTTATGTATTGAAAATAATAATTTCTTAGATAATCATAAATCAGAAAGACTGGAGTTAATATACAATATAATAAGTTTTGCATGACCGCTATATATGCAGGATAATTGTCATTGAAAAAGTCAATATCGGCAAATGAATGGTTTTTTTCTTGCATCCATCATTCTTGTCTCCTAAATGTATTCTATTAATGATCTCAAATGAGCTTCATATTTCCCGATCCATCTCATGCAAACATCTATTTTAGAAAATGAAATGAATTTGGGCACCGACTGTATGTTATATCTATATAGATAGAAGAGGAATGTAGAAGATGAATATTTTGATTGCAACTTCTTCAATGAAATAAGTTTGTACCTCTCTGCGGGAATATACATAGGATTGTCGTCCGAAAAATTAGCCAGTAATTTTATGATTTTCTACCAGAAATCATGATTAGCGGCTGAAAAAGTTCCACCGCAAAACCTTCTTTGCAAACGATTTTTCACCTGAAAAATGTCCGACACTAATTTTTACTTCTAATTTCTCAGCCATAAAACATTTTCTGGCCAAATTGATCAACTGCAAAATTAACATCAAATTTTATGGTTGAAATGTTTAGTCGGTTTATTGCGTCTATTTTGCGGCAAAAGATGTCAGTCTTTTCATTACACGATAACGATTGATTTGCGGTCAAATCTTTTTGCCGCCGCAAATTTGTAAAAAAAATAAAAAATCAGTCAAAATTTTCACTCTTGCATCATAATACAATCCAGAGATCATAAAGAGACCATAATAATCAACACATGCATCAAAGATATCTCACAACTGAATGAACGAATGTATACGATGATAAAAATCACAAGAAATATGTCAAATAACCCAACATGAAAGAAATGTTTGTGAAATACATATAATATAACATCCAAACATGAAAGAAAAACTTATACACGAAAGTTATACCAGTCATCCTCTTTCTCATCCTTCTGACTAAGAGGTTGTTTGCCACGACGATGTATTTTGTGCTACAACTGCCTCTCGGCACTGTTATCCATGACATGTAACTCAAAGTTGAAGCTATTTTGTAACTTCGCAGTGAGTGCAAAGCAATGTCTGACAACTTCATCTTTAACCACTGATGACGAACTTTGACTCTGACCTAAACTAGAGTGCTTAGCCTCGTACACAAAACAATCAGTGCCCGAGAACTCATTAGTAAGTCCATTTATTCTTGGATACAATCTTTTGTAATATGATCGTAAATTTTGAATAATCATTAGCGACGTATATATAGATTTAAAGATGAAGCATTTCATTCATCAGCTAAGTCCTCCTTTTCATACATAGTTATGTATTGAAATGATTCAAAATGACATATTAGATAACACCTAAACTATTTTCTATATAACAAATATTCGTAACACCTAAACTATTTTATATAACATCAAATATACAACCTTTTTAAAAACAAAAGGAGGCATTTACATACATACCACACAATTCTTATATATTTATTTATATCACACACACACAAACACAAATATATATATATATATATATATATATAAAGGAAACTGATATTTGGCAGAGTCTCAAATATCGATTTCCCTGTGTCTAAAGTTTCAGAGCCCCCGCGTCATTGTATGATC